ATAATGATCTATTGGCAGTCACAAGATAAATGATCATTTTATATCCTCCGATTTAGACTGAGCAATTTCGCTTAGAGATGATGTTTTTAATTCTGGTGAAGATTTCTTTGCTTAAAGGGATAGAAAAGTTATATATCTGTTGTATTTCATGATTTTGTTAATTTGTCTATGATATACTTGTCTGCAAAAATGACCAGTATTAATTAAAGTTGTAAAAAAATGTCCATTTAAGAAAGATAATTATACATTACGAATTCCATGTCATTTATTTACATGATACCTGTAATTCCTATATTTTTTATTTTAAAAAAAAAATTAAATTATATTAAGTTAACATTTCAAAGCTTCAATCTTATGGATTGCATGTACACATCAACCAGCAGATGATACATGACAACCAATGGATAAGAATTCTAGCAGAAAATGAGAGAGCTTATATAGTTAGTAAATTTTATAAGTTTTCAGAACACAAAAAGATTTTTTTTCAGGTGAAGGGGGTGGGGGGTCATGGACATGATTGTTCCAAAGTTAACATTGTTGTTCAGGTTAACATTGTAGTCTATGAGCATCTTGTTTGATGTGAGAATTAAAGGCTGTTACAGATGCAAAAAAGCAATATTTGGATTACATAGCTCTCAGCATTTCTTTTTTATCCCATTTAAAACATGGTCACATCACCTTTCATATCCCAGTCTCACATATGGTAATAAATATAGATCATACCAAATATGTATTTATCTTTTTGTTTCTATATCTAAAGTGCATCCCTGAAACAGTGATTGAGGGGGATTAGACAGCTGATCTATAGTATTGGATTGACTAATGGTGGGCAAGTTAATGGAAATGTTCAAATCAAAGACATGTGTGCCAGATTTTCAGACAGCACCCAGACAAGGGACTGACATACATCTGAAATATTCAAAATGTTCTCAAGGAAGACCTATCATTTTGAATTATCTTTAAAATTCATTTCACTATTTGTGGGTTTCCTGCAGAGTTAGGGTCTTGAGGTAGGAAAACTTTTGCTGTCATTTGTCAAGACAAAGATGATGGTTTATCGTTATTTGTTTTTAATTGACATCATGGTTTTTACGTTTCTGTCTGATTTGGTGGAGACGCACTTGATGAAAATAATTTACTTTTTTTTTCAATTTATAAATTCAGTTGGGAATGATTTCATCTATCTTTAAGTACCCTGATTTTTCCTGGAATCATTAATAGCAAGGATGGGTAGACATCTTTAACTATTACAAAAGAAGTCAAATAAGTAAAATGAAAAGAAATTATAAAACAAAAAGTTAAGCAAAGGAAACAAATTATCAAATTAATGTTCTTTGTGACTGGTGATGGGAATAATCATCTATGATGCCTTAGATCAGAAAGGCCAAAGACAAATTATGTTCTTTATCCAAGACGATTAAATTGTTTTTGACGGTCTGTTTTGGCATAAAATTTAATCAATAACTTGGATGGTTTTTGCAGAATTTTTTTTTTAATATCCATTCTTCTGGACTGAGAGAACCAAGATTTATTATTTCATCAATATTTTCTAATTTGCACCCTGCATGCAGAAATAGTCATATTTGCTGGCTAAAAAAATCCCATTTCTCTCACAATTTGAGTTTTGTTTTAAAATTTATTCAACTGAATTGAGAGTATTATCGTTGCTCAATTTATATAATTGATGTTGGAATTTTGAAATAAATCTGCAATCATATTGTTCTTGCTGGGCTTTTAAATCTTGTGCTTTGTTTGAATGCTGATAGAATTTCTTGATTCCATAGCACAGATGTTCTTTTCAAGTCTGCAACGACGAATTTTCGAATAAACTTTTACATGATTATTCTTTTTGACAGCGTTTCCAGCAGAAATCACATTTTTGCTTGCATGAGCATTATTTTTTTTTTTCAAATTCTGGAAAATGGAAAAGATTTTAATTAACATGGAATCTGTCCATCCATCTTTGGGATTTAAGATAATAAGATTTATTTTTTTTATTTTCTCATTAGAGTTTCTTTTTTGTACTTTGATCGGAGATTAAAAAGACAAATTAAGCCTTCTATGTATCACTTTGGGTTTCAAGAATTAATCAGATTTTTATAGATGGGCATTGAATTTGCTGACATGATAGGCAAAGGCTCCTATTGTATTTTATGCTCACCAAGAATGATAAGATGACATGAAGTTTAGCATAAAGAATATAGAGAAAGCAGGGTCATTCATCCATCTTTTTTAAAAAATCAATCAAAACATTTACTTAAGAAAGGACTTCAAGGACAATTGCTAGGAATGCATTTTTAAACCATTTGTTATTATATCCTCTCCTTTGTTATGATTTTTCTTGGATTTGAAATTTTAAAATTCAATTGTTTTTCAAATTTAATGTTCATTAAAAAGTTTTAAAACCTATATCCATCATATTGCTATTTTCTAGATAGATTATGTTGCACTCTGAAGAAATAAAAAACAAATATTTTGAATGTTTTTTTTTTTTTTTGCCATTTCAGTAGGCATGCATTCTCTTATGAAGTTGGTTTGAGAATTTTGTTCAGTGTTCACATTTGCATTTTGAGTTTATATTCTGTTATACCATTCCCTCACAATTCAGTCTCTTCACAAGGCTTATTTTTTCACCCCCTTTCTTTTCTTTACTTTTTACACAGCAGTTAGGAAGTTGAATATAATTTGGAATCAAACAAGTTCAAGCCTTGCATTTAATATCTGTTTGTCTTTTGCTATAACCAACTTCCCTCCAAGTTTGCCTGAGCAACTTGTTTAAAGTTTATGAATTTAGTATGATCAATTCTCTGTCATTTTTTGCTTAAGAAAAAGTCCAGTAAAAGTGAAGAAGAGGACTCAGATTTGGACTTGGATAAGGAACTGTTTTCCATTGGAACCTATCTCAACAACAGGCAGGAGATGGTAGAGCAGATGTTCCACAGCCTGAGAGGGCCCACACTAAAGAGACACATCCCGGATATTCTAAAGGTAATACATAAAGAAAGAAATAAGAAAGTAAAGGTTTCTTTTCTCATCTAAGGAGATGCAACAGTTGCCAATTATTCTCCTCCCCAAACAAAGTTTTTGGAAAAGTTATAAGAATCAGATAGTCCATTTGCATCTCTCTGTCATTGCAATGTTGTACGGGATATACCTTTGTTATGAAGAAACACTAAAAGCTCATACTCAGTACAGAACCACTTAAATATATTTGGTACAAAATCACTAAATGCTCATACATAGTACAGAATCACTAAAAGCTCATATATGGTACAAAATCACTAAAAGCTCATACTCAGTACCAAATCACTAAAAGCTCATATATAGTACAAAATCACAAAAAGCTCATACTAAGTACGGAATCATTAAAAGCTCATACTTGGTACAGAATCATGAAAAGCTTATATTCAGTACGGAATCATTAAAAGCTCATACTTGGTACGAATCACGATAAACTCATGGTCATACTACTCAGTTACAAAGTACTAAAAGCTCATACTCAATGCAGAATCACTAAAAGCTCATACTCGTTAAAGAATTACGAAAATCATATACTTAGTACAAAAATCAATAAAAGATCATAATCAGTACAGAATTACTAAAAACTAAAAGGTCATACTAAGTATAGAATCATTAATGCTTAAAATCAGTACAAAATCACTAAAAGCTCATAGTACAGAATTACTTATAACTAAAAGCTCATACTCGGTACAGAATCCCTAAAAGCTCATACTCAGTATAGTGTCATATAAGCTCAAACTCAGTACAGTATCACTAAAAGCTCATACTCTGTAAAGAATCACTAAAAGCTCAAACTTGCTACAGAATCACTAAAAGCTCATACTCATTAAAGAATCACTAAAAGCTAAAACTTGGTACAGAATCCCTAAAAGCTCATACCAGTACAGAATCACTAAATGCTCATACTCTGTAAAGAATCACTAAAAGCTCAAACTTGGTACAGAATCACTAAAAGCTCATACCAGTACAGAATCACTAAATGCTCATACTCTGTAAAGAATCACTAAAAGCTCAAACTTGGTACAGAATCACTAAAAGCTCATACCAGTACAGAATCACTAAATGCTCATACTCTGTAAAGAATCACAAAAGCTCATACTCAGTAAAGAATACTCAGTACAGAATCACTAAAAGTTCATCCTCAGTACAGAATCACTAAAAGCTCATACTCAGTAAAGAATACTCAGTACAGAATCACTAAAAGTTCATCCTCAGTACAGAATCACTTAAAGCTCATACTCAGTAAAGAATACTCAGTACAGAATCAGTAAAAGTTCATCCTCAATACAGAATCACTAAAAGCTCATACTCAGTAAAGAATACTCAGTACAGAATCAGTAAAAGTTCATCCTCAGTACAGAATCACTAAAAGCTCATACTCAGTAAAGAATACTCAGACAGAATCAGTAAAAGTTCATCCTCAGTACAGAATCACTAAAAGTTCATACTCAGTACAGAATACTCAGAATCAGTAAAAGTTCATCCTCAGTACAGAATCACTAAAAGCTCATACTCAGTAAAGAATACTCAGTACAGAATCACTAAAAGTTCATCCTCAGTACAGAATCACTAAAAGCTCATACTCAGTAAAGAATACTCAGTACAGAACAGTAAAAGTTCATCCTCAGTACAGAATCACTAAAAGCTCATACTCAGTAAAGAATACTCAGTACAGAATCAGTAAAAGCTCATACTCAGTACAGAATCACTAAAAGCTTATACTCAGTACAGAATCACTCAAAGCTCATACTCAGTGAAGAATCACTCAAAGCTCAAACTTGGTAAAGAATCACTAAAAGCTTATACTCAATACAGAATCACTCAAAGCTTGCACTCAATATAGAATCACTAAAAGCTCATACTCGGTACAGTATCACTAAAAGCTCATACTCAGTACAATGGTTTAGAACATAGTTGAAGATTTTTCCAGTGTAATTTAAGGACAGTTATTGCCCATTACAGAATAAAAAGCTATTTTGCTACGTGACACAATTTTTAAACATTAATGAATATTAATAAATCTTCATTATAAGGTCATTAAGATTTCAATTACGTCAGAGTTGAAATAGTGTCTCAGAAAAAGATACCATACATATGATATAGGTTTTTCAATCACTTGGTCAAAGAACTTCTTAACATTGGCACTTTTGTGTGTATTTTAGCTTTGTCAGTTTTGTAGTTGTGAACTTAAAATTGTAATGAAAAATGAATCACTCATTCACAAGCATTAAATCACTGATTTAAATGTGATAATTATATAAATAACATAACTTAAGTAGAGTGTAATTGGTTTGGCTATAAAGAATGTGTCTGTTATTTTCAAATTAACACATAATTTACCCAAATCAGTACAGGTATGTTAGAACTTTGCTTTTTTATGATATGATTACATAGGGTTTTAAAGGACATCCACAATTTCCCAAGTTCCAAAACTAGGAATTCAAAGGCACCCTATTCTTGATTTGATCAAATATCCTGCCATTTTTGGCCTTTTCAAACACTCACAGAAAATATTGACCTTTTTTGACATGAGATTATAATTGGAATGAAGCTTACTCATTCCTGCATGACAAAATATAATATGCAGTTCAGCTCTGGTTTGAGTTGAACGGCCATTGTCATTTGACATGCAAAGTTTAAGAACATTCAAACCAGTCCCGCTCGAAGTCCATACAAGGTTATTTAGACTATTGATCAGCGTCGACCATACCAGTATTGGGACTAGTGAAAATGCAATGCATACATATCATTTGTAAAAGTTATAGGATAAAACTTAACTTGTCCCTTAATCTTATATTATCCTTGGTGTATGCATTTCAAGTGGGTTCGGGGAACACTTTTATGTTAGTTAAAATCTCATTAGCAAAGAAGACAGAGGAAAAGAATTGGTCAATACCCTGCTTTTTTATTTTGGTCAGTGTAAAGAAAATTGATGGTCCAAACTGAAAAAGAGAACTGGAATCCAATTATCATGTCCCATGAATTATGTGCTTCTGGTATGAGGAAAATCACTGTGAATTTTATCATGATTTTAAGTACATGGTCCTTATACACTACAACCTGGGTTTTGAACAAATTTTCATGCCCCTTAGGTGGACATAAAGTCTGTCTGTTTTTCTGTTTGTCTAGAAATATAAACACCACCAATTTTGAACAGTTGTGTTAGGGCTCACATTTCATGTGCATTCTTTATGACAAGACCCTTCTTTGGATAATAACAATTTATGTCATGACCTTGGAATTTGACCTACCTTTCAAAAACTTTAATCTTGATCAGAACAACACTTTTGAACAGACATTTATGCTAAAGCTTCATATCTCTTGTACATGCATTCCTTGTGACAGGATCTTTCTTTGGGTTCCAGACTTTTGACCTCATGACCTTGACCTACTTTTGAAGAACTTTAACTTTGGCCATGAAAGAGCTCCCATACAGTGGCATATATCTGCTTTGGTTTTAATTTGTGAAAAAAATGTGTGGAATTAACTTCTATCAATGATGCAGTTACATACTGTATTATTTTAAAAAGGGTAATGAAGCTGGCAGCATCACTTTTATTGTCAATCTTCATTTGGTGCTCTCAAATTTTAGAGCTTAAAGGTGTGATATTGTGACAGTTTATTGGAAAAAGTTTAAAGATGTCCCATGTTTTTACATGGAAGGACATGGCATATATTTAAAACTATGGCCTAGTTGTCAAGTTGGCAAATAAAATAATTTCAACCCTGAGGTAGAATTTTAATATTCTGGACTGTCATCAGCATTAAGAGAAAGAAATATAGGTAAGCTTTAACATTGGCAGTAATATCTTCTAATGTCCTGACCTTTAACTCCGGGGAGTTCAGATGGCCAACATTCAGAAAGTCCAACCCTACCTCGTTTCACAATGCACGTAACTCAGTTTTAGGTCACCCATGCAATGCTTAATAAGCAAATGTGAAATTGAATACATTGTTTAAAACATACTTGGCAGGAGTGAAATCTTTTTTTCCTTTAAAATTATAGTTTATGGTAAACTGATTAAAATTTTTACTTTTTTATGCCATATTTATAAAAATAATTTTTGTTTGAAAGAGACTTTATTGTTTATTATACCGTTATAAGCTTGGCTTTGAGTGGTATATTCTATATTTTATTATTTTTATGCATTTATAGTATAGAAAAGGCTAGGAAAAGAATTTTTGGACTAGAAGCCATCCCCCTTTCTTAGTCTTTGTTTCCCTTGAATTACATTGTTCTTGAAGGAGATAAGTTTCAGAGAAATGTTAAGATTGTGTTTTTCACAGGTGACATTGGCATTAAATTAGACCTAGAATAGCATAGAGTTGTACTATAGAACTTTCATTAGGAATTTACAGCTAAAAGTAGAAAATAGAGATGTTTTATATCAACCACACACTTTATTTTTGTGTTTATACAAATATTTATTATTATGACTAACAGCAAATGGTCATTTGAAAAATGGCAATTATATTTTGTTCATGTGTGACCTGTCAGAAAGTCTTGTCCTATTTTGTGGACCCTGTGATGTATGATGGTCATTAAATACTGGTGTCAAAGAGACATTAGGGCTACACAGGTTCAGCCAAGATGTCATAAATACATGCATTATTTCAAACAGCAAGTTGTACATAAAAAATAAAATTGACCAGTGTCTGCCTCTCTGTTTTTGACCATGAAAATGACCAAAACATAAAACTTGTCATTCCATCCTTTGAAACCTTGGTTCTGCAAGATACGTATGTTGTTATTTGCCCAGTAGACTAGCTTAAGGGCTAAACAAATTAGGTGCATTTTATGTAAATAAATGAAATTTTTTTTGGTCATGTAATTTTTTTTTTTCTGTGCTTTCTTGTTGTTTCTTTATAAAAATTATTCAGTGGTCACTCAGAATATGGTAAATAAATGCTTGTACATCTCGTAAAAGTATTACGTGCAAAAGAGAATTGACAGAGAGATTAGGGAATTTTTGTGGCAGTTTTGGAATTCATGAAGTTATTATTCACATGAATTCTAAAGTACACTACTATATGTACAAGTTTGAATTCTCATTAAATTTAGTCAAACTACATTGTATAATACCATTTTAATGAATTAATTTGATATTTGAAGGATTTTTTTAGTGCTTCACCTCGGAAGAACATCTAATGAAAGTGTTTTAGGAATTGTAAATTAAAGTTATAGACAAAGTACTCAAAATCAAATCCTGATTGATCAAGTATTATTATTTTACACGGCAGCAATCTTTGCGTCATGTTTTTATCTTTGTTTGAAGTTCACTGCACGTCCCGCCATTTTCCTCTGGTGTTGAGAATTAAATGTTTGAAGTGTGATGAATTTTAAAACTTAAACATCGTTAAAACTATAAAGGGGAAGCAGTGTAAAATGGTTTTGATGATTAAAACAGATTCCTTTGAAACTGATAATCTTAAGGGCCTTAAAATCTCTGGGTTGAAGAAAAATAAATATATCTTAAGTAAAAACATCTTCAAACCAGAATCTCAATCATAATTGAACTTCATTCTGGTTTACAAATTATTTTTACAAAGTGTGTCTTGTGGGTTTTCTCCAAAGAACAGCTGTTTTCAGGAGAAAGGCGCAAGTTTAGTTGGAGGTCAATTTCAGAGATAAACTTTGGTTTGAAACTGGAAAATTTTGCCGGAAATCCTAAATTTCAAGAACATATGTTTATATATCAAATTTGCATTTGTATTATAAACTTGAGAAAAATGTGTAAATATTTTGATAAATGTCACACGGAAAGAATTTCATTCTGTTCCAGAGAAAAATGCACTTTCAAAGATAAATATATATTCTTCAACAGGTCTCTACGACTTCCTCAAATAAAATAAGATTCTTCGTCCAGATAATAAATAAATCATCTTGATATTTCAAGTTTATTTTAGTGAGCATTCCTTAGGGACTGACTTTATTTATTGTGTCGAATCAATGAGTGCTGAGAATGTGGCAAAAAGACTAGCATTGTAAAGCGGTTTAATACCTCTATTAATTTCAAAGGTAACATATGTTTTTCAGTTTATAGCTAGATGAAAAAGCTTCTGTGCATAAACAAGTGAAAGGATTAGGTTCATTATTTGTAAGAAATTTGTACATGTGTGTAAGTCGATTTAGGGTTTTAAGAAAGTATAGGTTTAGAGAAGAAATCTAACAAAGAGGAGTAACTCTTTATTTATCCAAAGTCAATATTTCTCATTGTAGGAGATGACCATTGAGGAACTGAAGGAGAAATGTGTGGAACAATTAGAAGTCATGTCAGTAAAGAGAATTAAAAGAATACTAGCAGGTAGTCATATTGCACTGTCAGAAATATATTATTTTTATCTTTTTTTATACTTCAATTCTACCCATTTCTCTCATACCTTTCCATATATACATGTAGCCTCAACACACAGTTTCTAAGTTTCTACAGATGCATATAACCCTTTACCCTTATTTTGCCTTTACATAACCTTCAGGTTTGACTGTATGTTTACTTTAAAATCACACAAGATAGATACCATATTTACCTTTGAAAACACCGAGGAAGCAAAAACAATAGGATTGGGATTAAATTCCCAATTCAAGTTAATAAAGTTAGACTGTATATATGCTCTCCCTTGAAATTGCCTTCTATCTTCCTAAAATGCCTATACTTTTAACTTTTTCAGAATTAATGCTTGGTCAGATTAAAATGATAATTTGCAAAAACAGTTTTTAGGGTTTAAATTTTACTTCCTTCTGTGGACATAACTTTTCTCCTATTTAGAATGATTCATCTTTAATTAGTATTAATGTAGCATTAATATAATATGCAACAATTAATGGTGAATATTTGATCATTATTTAAGTCTAACATTTTGACCTCTGGAATTATTTTGATTTTATATTTTCTTTGCATTGATTTAGGGGATGACCCTGCTAATATATCTTCATCTGGTACGGAAGATGAAAACAGCTCTGAAGGAAATAATTACCAAGGTATACTATATCCTTTAAAATCAATAATATTCTCTTTTCTTCTAAAAGGCATCATTTTTCATCAAAGGCTTGATTTTTTTTTTTATTTAACATTTCCAGAAAAAAATTAATAAAGCCCCTTTAAAATACAGACTATTTTAGGTTATTTATTGTTAATTTATGTTTTATACTGTCTGGTCTGGTATGTCTAATGAACACTGCATAAAATAATATTTGATAAACCTTTACAATGATATGATATTCATAATAAGCACTCTGAAAGTTTTTGTTAAATGAAATACTGCATTTCATGTTAATAAACAATTTGATCAGATTCTTATGCACTGACATTTCCAAACTAACAAAAATGACCAACTGTATTTATCCCTTAAATGTCAAAATTAAGCATATAAACTTTCAGTTAATAATGGTTTAGTAAAGACGTTCAAATTATGCACTGGTACATGAATTTTAAAAATTCCAATTTTATGCTAAAATGAATATTTTACATGCATCAAAAAACTAAACATCAAGCCCTCAGTGGTAGAATCCAAGACCTTTTGACTGATCATGCTTGATTTTGTTAAAAGTTTTGTATGAAATTAAAATTATTTTATCTTAATGTCATGGGTTAAAGTTAACTCTTAACATTTGCACTCAAAGATTTTTAGACAATGATTTTGCAAAAAAAGTTACATAATGTTGATCGTTCCTTATCTTTGCCTTTTATCAGAAGTATTGTTTTCTATGCTTTTTATGGAAGCAAGCAATAAAAACTAAACCCATGCATGTGAAAAGTGCTTTAGTTTGAAAATTTCCTGTATGAGTATATTGTTTCATTCATTTTGATGTTTTTTCAGGGTTTTATTAGTTTTCCTCTTTTCCTGATATGGTATAAATGGATTTTTATGAAAACTGGATAAATCTTTTTTTGTTTAATGAATTTAAATCCTCAAAGATAATCACCAGAATCAGACCTAGCTATCATTTATTAATTAGCAAAAGAATCTCTTTGTTAATTGAAAATTACAAGAAATTTAATCAGTTTCTCTGCTGTGAGATTTGTTTGATGTCTAAGGTAATAAAATGTTTACTAATTGTCTCTATCTGTGGAAAGCAGAGATGCCCAAGGAAACCTACACCTTCTTAAAGGAATGAATTTTAGTAAGCAAATGCAGATTTAAAATTGAATAAATGATCAGTTTATGAACTGCCATTAGTTAGTAAGTGCAACAATACCAGAAGGTTTTATGATAGTCTTGTTGTGTAAATAAAGTTTTGTCTAAAAAGACATATTTCGGATTCAGCTATCAATAACTGCTTAATTCTTACAAAAAGTTTGACAGGTACTTTAATCCCTGATTTTGCTAAAAGTGGGGACATTAATTTTGGTGTGTCTGTTTGTCCGTTTGCCTGTCCTTCATTCTATGTTTCAATTTGTAAACTTTTGTTTCTGGATAATATCTCTGAAATTCCTTACGCTTTTGCCATGAAATTTTATGTCGTATTTAAAAAAATGGAAATCCCAACTTTTGAAAAAATGGTTTTTCAAAGGTTTACCAGGGTAATAGTTAAAACCGCTGTCCATTTATGGATGTAGATAAGGAGTCATTTTCAATTCATATAATAAATGCTTTGGTCACAAAATTCAATAATAGAGATGCCATACACTTGCAATGTTGCCATCCTATCCCACTCAGACCAGCCAGAAAGATCATGAACTGTTTTTCTTCCTAGCAATTTGTACAATATTTTAAAACTTATTTTCAATACCTAACTGTCCTTTTGGAGACCCTTTAATTTCTTTAAATAATTGTGTAGCAAGTCTAGCAACTTTTTACTAATCCATAAGTAATTGTTATATATTAATATTTTGTTAGTTTCTGGAATAAATACACAGTAGCTTCATAGTCATTTTGAAATAATCCCAAGTAAGTGTATGCATAGAGAAAGACAGAAATATGAACATGTATTAAGGGGCTGTGGGCATTTACACATTCTGAAAGTGACCATGCTAGCTGACTTAAGTCATCCTTTAATTAAACAAAGACTCAATGCACTGAAAGCAACTCTACATATCTGAAGGTCAAGGTTAAAGATAATTGCATCTACAGAGCACTAGGCCACAAGCTTTCACTTAAGTCTAGCATAATATTTTAATCCCAGAAAAAAGCTAAAAGCTATGCAAAACATTAATACACAGATTTTTTATTGTCTTATTTGGTGAAAAACCTATTGCAAACTGTCTGCCACCGATTTCAGTAAAAACACTTAGTCACAAAAATAAAATTGTCAGGGAATATATTTTCTATGTTTTAATTGTAAATAACGAGGACATTAAATGAATTGTAGATGATGGACCGAATGAGTCAGGGTCTGTAATATACACACATATTTACATTATAGATGCATGGGTCTTGGTCCAGAGAAGCGTTTAATTCACACATTTGCATGCTATTATTATTTAACATTGCAAAAAAAATATGAAGCCCATCTAAATATTTTTTTTCCTTGCTGAAACTAATAGCCCGCCTGCAAAAGGGTAATAATTCCATCAAATTAGAGGGAAAAATTGAAGTCTTTATAGGAAGACTATAATGTGGCCTCAAGTTGAAACAAAGAGTTTTTTTATGTGGACATAAATCTAATTATCATTTGCTGCAATTAGCCAAATGAATTGCATGAAAGCATCTGCAATGAGGCAGTCCCTTGGAAAATAATATTAATTATAAAATCTTGAACGTCTAGTTCCAAAATACCAAGAGCTTAATTGTGGTATTTTGGCATAACTGCTTAATTTGGTTGCTGTTTTAGAATGTGTGCTATTTGTGAAATTGTTTGAACCAAATGGTTTACTGTTCTTTTTTTCTTCTTGACTGCTTATTTCGAGTGATTTAACTCCATGACAATATTGAATACCGTAATTAAAAAAAGCTGGAAATTCAACAATATTTTTTTTATTTCAGATAGTGTTAATTAAAATTATATTTGATTAAAAGACATCATTTTTACTTGGAAGATAATGAATATACACATGAATATGTATTGAAAATTCCTCTTGTATGCAAGGAAAGTGACCAAATCAGAGATCTAATTTAAGACTGCAGAGTGTCACACTGATCACTTTACACACAGCAAGGCTGTCCATTTAGCAAATCCTGTGGTTTAATTTCTTTACAAGGACTATAATTGGGATTTGATATTCTGTTCATGTTTTACTTGTTGCAAGTCTGTAAAATACCAGGGTTACTGATCTTATGTCCTTGAACTCTACCCTTGACCTTTTTCTCGAAGTATGTCATAATAACTAATAACACTTGTCTTTTCAAATTTTTAAGGTATTGTTATGATAATTTAAGATGTTAATTGCTCATCTCACTTTTATTTCTAGGGTTATCAACATTTTGACCTTGACCTTTCACTACTTTTTGATCCATATTCCTGGATGTTAATTTGATAAATCACAGATTTGATTAAATAAGTCTTTTGTAAAATGCTAACTTAGAGACCTCAAGATCTCTGACTTTTAAAAATAGCAACTGTGGTTAAAGACCTAATGACTGTTGGCTTGACCTGTGACCTTACTCTTAAAAGAACAACTTTGCCTCTGTTGTTTTAGATTACCTGAACCAAAGGTTCAGATGAGCTTTTACCTGCTGTTCACTTTCTATATGTCTGTCTGAATGTTAACCATTTATATTTTGACCTCGTCTTCCAAACTACTAAACCAACTTTAACCAAACTTAACACCAGGCATCCAGGGACAAAAAGAATTCAATTTTTTTCAAGTAAAAAAATAATGCCACACCTTTTTTAAAAGGGTAAATACTTTATAAACAGGGAAAATATGGTGGGCATCTTCAAAATTCTTCCAATTAACCACTTTGCCAAAAAAGTTAAAAATTATTGGAAAGCTTCATTTCAAAGTGTAGGTTCAAGCTGGTTCAAATCATGAAATTTATATGTGCAAAAAAGAATGCACAAACTAAACATAAACTTAAATTTGCCTCAAAACTGAATTCTTTGCAAAAAATTGAGGATAAAACAAATATTTTGTGAACCAAGATGTTTCTAATCTTGATCATTTTGACAGAGAAAAAGTGTACATGAAATATACTGAGATAATGAACAGTATTCAAGCTCAATTTCCATTCAGACAATACAAGCCAGGAGCAGAGCAAACAAGGACCTCCTAAACACCAGAGGTGGGATCAGGTGCCATGGAGGAGTAAACATCTCCTATATAGACTGGTCACACCCACCTTGTGCTACTTGTCATGATTGGGAAGTAAGAGAGAAACCCATTGACAATTTAGTTTGTTAATATTTGCCTAACATTAACATTAACATTTGACTTGTATCAAATTCTTAGATCGGAATCTTGCTTAGTATATTGTTTAATTATCCTGCAAACTATACTTTGCAGAGATTTGTTTGTATTTACTAGCAAATGTGATATGATGGTCACAGTCTTTTTTTTTTAACCCAGCATTGCTTGGACTAGTTCAAGGTCACAAGGACAAGATGTAAATTTCAGTATTGCTTTTTAATTTATAATCACCTCTGTAAGTTAAACATCCATGATTATGGCATTACACAATGAGAAAGGAAGATAAAATTCTACAAGTCGTAGCTAAAGATTTAATGGTGTCAAAATCACAGAAATATTAAGATTCCCCAAAAAGAAAATCACCTACGCATTCACAGTTTTGTTGGCTGACAATTAAAAGTGTAGTACACGTCTTAAGAAAGTATTTTTGTTAAGAATAATTTCTTAAGTACATTTACATTTTACTCTGAGAGCTAGTCTCAGCCAATTTTAAAGAAGTTTTTAAAAAGAAAATTTACTTAAGTTTGTATGAAAGCATCTTAAAAGTGAAAATCCACTTACTAGAATTGTTGATGTAAATGCCTTTTGAAGATGATAAGTACTTCAGAAACTTTCTTTTTGTTACAGATAAAGAATAGAGCTTTTAATTATATCAACCGACTACCAAGTAATTTGAATTATACAAAAAGCC